CGCTACGTTCATAAGTGTGCGGTTCCGAAGCAGGATGGCGCAGCTTGCGGGGGCAGCCACCCGGCCTCGCAGCACTTTGCTACCTCGGCCCTCTGCGAGGTAGGGCTGAAGAGGTACAGGACGCCTCGCTTTGTGTGCCCGCGCAGCCTGCAGGTTCCCAGGGCGACCTGGTACAGGACTCTCCGGACTCGCCCACTATTTCTCCGGTCGCCCGGGCCATACAATCACGCAGCCTTGATTGCTCCACTCTTGCTTGTCGCTTCTGAAGCATTGCTTTTCCATTACTGCTGGTGAGACTGGCCGAGACCCCAGTGTCAGTGACACAGATGCTTATTATTTTAATGTTGGTGCTGTTGGCTTCAACAATGGCGAACGCTTTGGAATGTTTCATCGCAAAGAACAGGTTTCCGACATCACATGCTATCGCAACTCTCTCTTAGGAGTTCTAGTTGTGTTCTAGTTGTGTCAGCCGCAATGTACGCACTCTTTTACATACTGACGCAGGCAACGCCGAGTCCAGCCTGAACCACAACATCTCACTGGTACAGGTGGCGAGATCTGGGTCACACCTGCCGTCGACTCGGAGGCGCCGCTTCACCGACCCCCCGTGGGGTCTCTTTCGGAGAGGCGCTCTGAGGACTTGTGCAGCGCAGGCCAATTGCTGGACACCTGTGACCAGGCGGTCTCCTCCCCCTGCGCGAGCTTGCACTGCACCAACCCTCGTGGGTTCGCACCGCATAAACCAGTCTCAGGCTCTCTCCCCCGGCCGACATCAAGGCGCACCTGAAGTCACTTGGCTTTCCTTTGCCCAACAACAGGGCAACCCATTCGGTGCGAGTACAGCAGGGCCCCCCAACACATGTAACGCCTGCCGATTGTCATTGATTCCTGGACATACGCTGTAGTGCTTCGGGCCCACTTTCAACTGCCATGGGCTTACAGGGTGTGCGTCATGTTTGCATCGACGCCCTGGGGAGCCACTTGACATACTTTGCGACAGCACGTATGACAAGATCATGCGACCTACTTTCTCGGGCACAGTTCGCTTTGCACGCGCTGCGCCACCCTGTAAGGAGTACTCCCGTCTCAAACTTCGCCCAGGCGGCCCCAAGGCCATACGCAGTACACTTTCATGGACGGACTGCCTGACAACACGGCAGAACAGCAGTCTCGGGTGGTGCAAAGTCAACGTATTTTGTACCGCTGTGTGAGCTTGCTTCGGGCAGTGTCTCTGGAACAGCCCACCAACGCTATGTCTTGGCTGGAACCCTTTGTTCAGGACATGCTTTCAGAAACCCAGGCCAACTTGCGGCGGTGCCGGCCTGCTCAGTCAACTTGCCGATAGCTAAGTCCTGGCTTCTCGCTTCCAGTTTTCCCAAGATGGCACAGCTTGTAGCCAAATGCACCCATCCTGAAGGACGCCCTTCCGTTGCAGGCAAGTTAGACGCACAAGATAGCTTTCCGTCTCAACGCGCAGCAGAATACCCTTCGGAGCTGGCGAACAAGTTCGCCGACATAGTGGCCCCACTTTTTTGGGACGCCCAATTCAGCGACACCAGTCGCAGCCTGCTCTTTGGTATTCTCGCTTTCCTGCATTCCGCACAAACCGAGGTCCACGCCACCTTTAAAACTTTTGGTGCTCAAGATGGGGGAGGCATCTTTTCTATGCTCGACTGGTCGCGAGGCCCCAGGTACCGTGACGACCAGCCTAAGGACCTCCGTACTGTGTGTGTGTGTGTGTGGCAACGCCGCTTCTCGAGAAACACATGCCAGCACGTTTGTCTCAGCATGTCGCTTCCCAGACAAACAAGCCACTTTTCGGCGACAGAGAAGTCGCATGGCTGCGCGACGCCTTCACTCGTGTTTTTCCGAAAGCATGTCCACTTCCGATTTCCAAGGACTGGGACTTCAGCGTGGAAGAGGGCCAGCCCCTATTGCTTGTCTGCACTCGAGCGACTGAGTACCCTGCTGACCAGGACACAACGCTGTTTCCAGCTTTGAAACCGGGTGTCCCCACTGGCTTTGACGGTGATATACCATGCAGTCACACTCTGAGACCTCGTCGTGAAGACGAAAGTGATGAAGGGCACCAACCTGTGAGGGCAACTGGCAAGGAGCCGAGTCAGACCCAGCTTTGCTGCAGGAACTGATTGAGGAAGAGATTTCTGCCGGCTTTCTGGAGGAGATGCCCAGCCTGGAAGCATCTTACTCCCGCTGGGGCAAAGAACGTGTGGCCATTGGCAAGGTCAACATCTTTAAAGCCCCAGGCAGATCTCCCCGCTTAGTCGTGGACAACAGTATTTGCAACACCAACCAAAACTGTACAGTCCCGGGGTAGTTCAGTTTGCCCAGCGTACAGGATATCCAATCGTCTTACTCACTTCGCGAAGACAACGAACCAGAGTCTCAGGTTTCAGCTTGGACGTCAAGGGCGCACACAAAACCTCCCGTGTACGCGAACGAGGTAGAGGTCTGCTTGGTTTGCGCCAGCAGGAACGCTTACTGTTTCACAAGGCCTGCTCCTTTGGGGCCACTTTTTCATCACACTGGTTTGCCAGACTTGGTGGCTTCTTTACCCGCTGCTTGCACTTGCTTATTTGGCTTTCACATATTCTCATGCTTTATGTGGGCGACCTCCTTCTGTATCAGAACACTGCAGTACTCCCACTCTCAGCTTGTTTGGTACTAATCTTTCTGTGCGTGCTTCAATATCCCACTCAGCTGGGAGAAGTTACAGATGGGCCCGGTCATGACATGGATCGGTTGGGAGCTCAACTTTGGCACATCCAGCTACACGTTGCCTGAGGACAAACTCTTAAAGTGGCAATCGTTGGTACAGGCGTGTCTCAGCCACCGCCTCCTTTTGCGTAAGCAGCTGGACAAATTGCTTGGCTTACTGCAGGATCTTACACGGTTTCCCCACTTTGCGCCCGCGGCTCTGTGCCATCTACGATGACATGCATCGGCGCTTGGGCACCAATTTCAGCATTAGTCCCACTACGTGGCCAGGCATTGCTGCCCACGTGGATGACTAGCTGACTAGCTAGTTTTCACTTCCGGCCGGGCTCCACGCTACTTTCAGCCCGGCACGTGGAACTCAAGTGCCTGGCTGACCTGAGCAACGTGCCAGTCAGTACAAAGCGCATCTGGGTGAGAGTCTCGGACCCCACTTCGTCACGACGCAAGCTCTGCCCAGCAAGCCGCGAAACCCTGAAAATTTTTCCACTACCTGAGTTCCAACGAGACCTCGGCAGCAGACACCTTCGGCAAAGGCAACGACTGTGGAGTGGGAGGCTGGCTCATGCTCGAGCTTTGGTGCGCTTCTCGCATCGCTACACGGTTAGCGACTTCACAGCTTTGGGCTTACCCATGAAATCCAACCGCAACTTGGGTATTTCCAGTTATGAAACACTGGCGCAATGCTTTGTTCTCATCTGCTTTTGGAGGGCATCTGGCAGTGGTCGCTTGGCTATCAGCCTCCCGGCACTTAGTGGTAACACGGGGGCTGAATCGGTGTGCAATAAGCTTTATGCGTCCAAAGTACCGCTTAATCTTTTTGTTCGTAAGCTTTCTATGTGGAGCTCCATGACCGGCATCCACTGATTCGGTGGGTCGCTTCGCTGCACTATTGTCCGGTCCCAGAAGAACATATCTTTCAGCAACGGAAAATAAGTTCGTGGCATGGTTGGCAGTGCGACCGAGGCCAGCGACATCGCCGATCGCAGGGTCTACCTCATGGGTGACTTTGCCAAGCCTTATGTGATCCTCAGGCAAGATTCGCCATCCGGTTTGTTGCCTCTTGTGGGTGCAATTGTGCATCAAAGAGAAGGAGCCGTTAGCGGGAAGTTGAAGAGGCTTTTGTGCTAACCCGGCTGTGTCGGAAGAAGTCGAGAGCAAGCACATGGTGCAACAAATTTTGCAAAGTCATGGCCGGGTGGACATGAAGAACGTGCTGCCATGGAGGAAGTGGCCCACTTCCAAATGGGTTTGGTGTTGCTGTTGGACTTCCCGCAGTGGACTGAAGTCAGCAAGACTGTACATGCGAAGCGCACTCACTGCTCGCTTGTAGCATTCTGTAGGGAGGCGTGGCACTCTCCTGGGCCTGCTACGGTCTGCTCACACGCACAACGGAGCCAACAACACACCTCAATATTTTGGGCTCTCACACTCGTGCAAGCAACAGAGCGTTCACCACGCTCCGCTTGGCCATCCGGCCTTCTCGTGAAGCTCCTGTGCACCCCAATTTCTTCGATCCCTGATCGCGAGTGATGAAAACATGGAGTGTCCTCTCGGATTGCAGGATTGAAAATCCAAATCATTTGGAATGTGTGCTGAATAGACAATACATACCTGTGTTGTTGACAGCTTTTGGATTGCTGGATGTTTTCACTCACATGTTTGGCATTGAGGATTTTCGCAGCAGTGTGTTGTTTGATTTCTTCTCGTTTGTTCCGCAGCCCGCAGCTTGCATTCGTGGCAGAATGCTTCCCAAGCCGTTACACGATGCGAATGCGATGAAACCGAAGTCTTCTTTGCACCTCAGTTCTGCAGAGCCAAAAGCATGGCCGACATCCACTCCAGGAACCCACGATGCGAAGATGAGATGTTATTTGTCATCTTGTACACATGTGCCGAACGGTTGGAGGCTTGACCACAGTTCGAGCACTGCTACAAATTGCCGGGTCAAGTATCCAATTGAACGTTTTTGCAGAAGGATCCTATTGGTGACCGTTCACGACGAGACCTCAAACACATGCTTCTTCAGCATGTTGCAACAAATCAATTTATTGCAGAGGGCGTTGTGCCGCACACAAATCCCGGCGCAGAATGTTGGGTCTGTTAGGTGCTCGAGCCTCTGCCTTGGGTTTGCACCCTCAGGCAACATCGGCCTGTTCTGAGTCTTCCCGTGTCTTGGGCATGGCCAAATTCGACCGTGTGTTTGGCCCGAAGCACGAGCACCGCTGCCCCATTGCGCCGGAGCACGGTCCAGTGCAGCGAGAATGCTGTGCTTGTTCAGGCAGCGCGCGAGCAACTGTGCTTTTCATGATGGTCTTGCGGCGTGACAGGAAAGTCTTTTCTCTCGGATGTGGGCGACGACGACCCTCCAAGACGCGTCTCTCATGGGATTGGGTCACCACAGGACAGAATCACTGAAGATCTTGGTTGTGCTCCGAGGTACCGTGTGACACTGAAGAAGCAGGCCGCCCTTGAAGTGTAACATTCTATTCATGAGCTTCCGCACGTTGCGGGAGGCCCTGGAGGAACATTTCGGGATCGTGATCACATACAACAAGCGTGGTGAAGGCACAGAGTCCGACACGTGCGAGCATCTGTGAGCATCTGCGAGCTCAAGCTTGGACTCTTGTCAGGCTTGCTGATCAAAGAGGTGGGCCAGGAGTCCGCAGTCTCGCAGTGACCTGCCTGGACCTCACGGCATGGGCTTAGGGTTCTTTCGTCGAAGCCGAGGTGGATGCGGGAGCATCCCGATCGTCCTATCCGTATTGGCTGCGCCATCCTCGCCATCAATGGGTTCACATCTCGGGTCATGCTGCTTTCTGCTTGTTGAACTAGGGCATGTTGCATGGTGCACGTACTATATAAGGATGTGGTAGGCTGAGTCCAGTGCAGCTGTGTGTTGAGAAGGGCGTCTCCTTGTTGAAGCCGGACTTATCCCTGTTGAGACGCTCAACCTCACCCTGCAATGCTGCTCCGCCTGCACAGGGAAGATCAGATAGAGCCCATGCTGAAGCAGCTGGAAATGTCCTGCCAACTGGCTTGGGCCCCGAAGGGTCAGATTCAGATGCAAGATCCCACCAGGCTTTCAGCGGCTTCTCTTTCACTCTTGTTTTGGCTGAGGATTTGCTGATCACCGCAGAGCTGACTGCCAGCCAGCAGCAGATGCTACATGGGTCACTTCAGAAGACAGCCGCGAGCTCGCAGAGGATGCGGGACTGAATCTTGCTTCCGCTTCGAAGCGGTAGACTCAGGTACCCTCCTTCGTGGTTCAGTCGCTTTCTCGTGCAACTCTCCTGAAGCAAAGTCAGCTGAGGGCCTTGAAGGGCACTAGAGATATAAGGTGGCAGCGAACGAAAGCGCCGAGAGGGACGTCTGTGCTATCTGCCTCTCGCCATGTTTTGTGAGAGCTTCAGAGCGTAATCGCCCCCTTAGGTCATAAACCCTAAACCCTAAACCCAAAACCCTAAACCCTAAACCCAAAACCCTAAACCCTAAACCCCAACCCTAATGCGTTGTCCGAGGCTGCGAAGAGTTGGAGCCTGGATCTCCGAGCTCCTGGCCGATGCAACTGCCTTGTGGGCACCTCTTCCACGCTCCCTGTGCCACGTGGCAGCAAATATAATATAATGTAATATAATGTAATATAATGTAATATAATGTAATATAATGTATTATAATGTAATATAATGTATTATAATGTAATATAGTATAATATAATATAATATAATATAATATAGTATAATATAGTATAACAAGATATAATATTATCAGTCAGCAAGAGACCCTGGGGCACCCGCGGGCCGGAAGGCGCTTTTTTGCGAGGTGAAGACCTGGCTGGTGACAAGGAGCCGTCGTTGCCCGATGTGCAACCAGCCCCTTGGAGGGAGAGAGAGAGAGAGAATTACTATTATTATTACTATTATTACTATTACTACTATTATTATTACTATTATTATTATTATTGTTATTATTATTATGACTATTATTACTATGATTGTTATTCTTAGAACCTTGGGAGCTGTTTTGCGCCCCCGGGCCGAGGGCGGTGGAGCTGAAGGCGCCGCTACCCCGCGAGGCTTCCCAATGCCCCCATGCAGCTTGCTGGCTGTGGCTTGCTCATGGCTCGCGAGGTGTTACCAAACGCATCTCTGTCGTTCCACTGAGTTAGTTCCTTGAATTATGGAGGATTGAACGGCGCGGAAGCGTCTCAATCCCTGAACATTTTGCGCGTTGCACGCTTCCGGCTTTCCACAGCACTTGGTGTTCCAAGCGTGCAGCAATCCGCAGCCGAACCCCAACTGAACAAAAGATTTGTGCCGGCGGCGTCAATGAGAAGAGACCGATCCGGCGGTTTAAGATTTAAGATTTAAGATAGATATGTATATATATATACATATGTTTAATCCATCTCCATCTCCATCTCTATCACTATCTATATTTCTGCTTCTATACCTATTCCCGACCTCTTCCTAGCCTATTACTTCGCATGCTTCAACTCCTACTATCTATTCCTGATTTTTGATTCATAATCTATAATACAATTATCTATCTATCTAGATCTTGTCATTCTATTCTTTGTCCAAATCTCTCTTTGTCGTTTGACCTTTCCGTTCATCTCTCCCAATAGAATATATCTATAAAACCTATGATGATCTCATTAGAATCTTATCCTCTCTATCTATTTATATAGATAATTCACATATATTCCAAGAATATTATAATGAAATTCTTTCTCATATCTTTCTTTAAATAGAGAAATAAATAAAATAAATTTTCAGATATATATATATATATTCAATTCATATCCGCGCAGAAAGAAGAACGAATGAATATTTAGATAGATTCAAATTTCAGATCGAGAAGATGAGAGAGAAAGAAAGATAGATAATTTAATAGATTTTATTATCTAGATAGATAGGCAAGAATTGAATATCTTTTAGATTATGAATAAATGATTCGATTTCTATCTTCGTCCAATTTCTATGAAATTATCTAAATTCCGAAATTCTTTATGCTATTATAGAATTATCTAGATAATTTAATTAAAAATAATTATGAATTTAATATAGAAATTTATTAAAAGAAATCTATATATATATATATATCTATATATCTTTCTGCAAAAAAGAATCATTTTTCTTTCATATTTTGATTTTTTTAAATAACTATTAATACAATTCTTGAGAGATAATAAGCTCGCAAAATATGTCGTCCTCCGAAGATTTGTTTCTGAATTGGCAAATATCGTGGGGAGGACTCATACTTATGGAGAAATTTTTATTTTGATAATTATTATGGTGAAGACTCCGCGGCTGCTTTTGGTAAGGCTTTTGGGAAGATTGTTGCTTTGCCGAAAGCGGAAATTCTTTAGATATTCGTAATTAATTTGGATTTCTTAGATTATTAATTTGGATTTCTTAGATTCTGAATTTGAGATCCGATTAGTATTATTTTGAGATTTCTAGATTATTAATTTGGATCTTCTAATTTGGAAATCTGGAGATCCACAGATTATTATTTTGGGTCTGCCAGATTATCTTATTTGGATCTATAGATCATGAATTTGAACCTCCTACATTCTCAATTTGGGACCTATCAAGTCGGGGCCTATAGATTATTATTTTGTCAAGTCTCCAAATTGGATTTTTGGATCTGTTATCAGATCTCCTATATACCTACCAATAAAGATGTTTTGGACGTTCAAGCGAAATTCTTTTGATTTGCTTGGATATATTGATTAATTTTCTTTTTTTATCATTATTGACTTATGATTATTATTTCTTCTTTCTTTCTCAATCATTTATCTTCTCTGGAATTGAAATCATAATCTGCACTGGCGCCTATTTCGGCGAAGTCGTCTGAATATATTAATCTTCATTGTTCTTATTATATTAATCAAAGATAAGATTTAGAAATATATGGATCTATTGATTTCATATTGATAGAATGGATAATTTATATCGATCAAGATTATATTAAAATATTCAAGAATGAATAATTCTTATTTCTAAAATCCGATCAATAAATAGATTTATTGGATTATATTGATAGAATATATGAACGAAATAAAGAATCTCAAATTCAAATATCATGATTGGATTTGAATGATCTATCATATTCGGAGATTAGATGATATTATCTAAAAATTCAAAGATATGAAAGATTGAAATCATCATTATGCAGAAAGATAATTATTCCCTATTTCTGATTAGAATATATAGATAATATATTCAATATTTTTATCTTTACTATATATCTTTAGGAATGGACAAAATTCTTTCGTATCGAGATTTATTAAATAATCTATA